ATAGACAAAGTAAAAAAGAAGCAGAAATTCGCATGAAGGAAAGTAATGTAAGCTATACTGCCTCTCATAACGTACATCAACTGCTTAGCACAGACTATTATTGCTCCATATTTAGTGTGGCAGCACTTCTGGCAAACTTCTGCAGTGGATGCAAAAATCGTGTCTTTTGTAGGAGTAGAAGGCTTCACTCGATCGGCAGAGCCTATACGAGACACAGGCTTAGAGCTGACGTGGGCTTTCAAGTTTTACACTAAATTGAAGAGACTTCTAAAATGATTAGTTTTTAGCAGAAACGTTTTACTGGATATACAACACAAACAATTTGCTACACAGTATGCAGGCAATACCATAAATACATGGGCTGCAGGCAGACCCTTCGACATGCTATCGTATGGAAGTTTATGCGGCTATCAAAGGGACTCCTAGGAGAACAGGAAGTACCGGCCACCTTAAACCTTCAGGGACAAGTGGTTTGGGACTGGGTGGTATCACCGCGCCGCCAGACTCCTCAGAAAAATATCTGAAGAGGGTGGCATAGCCTCATAAACGCCTCTCGGGCCATCCCATCCTGTCATAAGTGGGCAACAAAAAGATAGCCTATGCATAGATATAGAGGACAAACTCTGCTAAGCCAAGAAACATATGCAAAACTCATGATACAGATACTACATTTAATAAATTGCCCCGCATTTGATGGGGCAAGCAGAAAGCAAACGAGAAGATATATCTGAGAATCGGCAAACTGCGTAGATTGAGAGGCTGTCAGGAACGAAGCCCGACAGCAAAGCCTTGAATGAGTATTGCATCGGTGCGTGAGAATACGCAACATCGTCTTCGAAGTGTATCCCTCAAGTGAAAGGACGGGTAGAAAAACACAATGATACACGCCAGTGATGAAAAGAGCTTTATTCTTCAGAAGAACTATGACTTGCAAATAAGGTCACTTCTGGCAAAAGTTTCGTTAACGAAGAACGCGGCAGGGCAGCTGTAGCAAACCAATTATATCACATAATCAGATGGTACTTAACTTACAATGTTATTTAATAATCTAATTGGTCAAATCTTAGAAACCCGTATATCTTCGAAATATAATTAAGGTGAGGGTAAACGTACGTTGCTTATATACGGGCTAACTATTAAACGTATAAAATTTTTACCTAATTAGAACACACTAAACGCACTAAATCACTGCTATCTTTTCCGGTACCTTGTCTCTTTTCTTTTTTTCTTTTTATTGTTATTATCGTAGCCCCATTTTCAGCTTATTGCAATTGATCATTCACTGTGAACGTTTGTTAGAATATATCGAAGTGGTAGACATTGACAAAGTTCATGTTCTTCTACCCTATAATGTAATACGCAAACGGCTGCGCGACATTTAAGCAAAAGATTAACTTATCGTAGGGCACTTCTGCTATACCCATGTAACCGGAATCTAGCAGAGATAAAACAGTACAACGTTCATCTTTTACTAGACGTTTCGAACAATGCTTCATAGAGGCTTCAGCCATATTCTTCTAGCAATAACGAACCCGCAAGCCAGTCGAGAGTGTTGTGTCGTCC